TGAGAAGACTTGGTGAGCCGGTCAATAATTACCTAGATGGCATCATGTCCTGAGCATGCCTTGGGTAATCTTGTCATGAAGTCCATTGTGATATGTTCCCACTTCCACTTCAAAATTAGTAATGACTGAAGTAGTCCACCTAGGTGTTGATGCTCTGCCTTGACTTGCTGACACACCAAACACTTAAAAACAAAGTTAGCTATATCTCTTTCATCCCGTTTTACTAAAATCGGGGTTGCATACTTTGGTACATTTTAGTACTTTCAGGATGCATGACAAACTTTGAGCTATGGACCTTTGTCATGATGTCCATCTTTAACTTACTGTCACCTAGAACACACACTCTGTCCTGGAATCTTAACAACCCATCAGCGGAGATTCGAAATTCTAAGCTAACGCCCTGTTCTGCATCTCCCTTGAGGGCTACTAGGATGGAATCGGCGAACTGACCCTCCCTTATTCTCTAGATTAATTCAAGCTGAATAGTCAGGTGACCCAAATATGTGACTCTCTTCAAGTCCTGAAGCCGTACTTGTTGTGTGGCCCCAATCTGTCTAGATTCTGAAACCATCAAATGGGCTAATGTACCTGGACTTTTTTCTGCTGAGTGCATTGACTACCACATTATCCTTACCCGGGTGATACAAGATGTCGCAATCATAGTCCTTAAGAAATTTTATCCACATTCTCTGACGCATCTTAAGATCTTTTTGAGTGAATATTTGTTTCAAACTCTTGTGATCGGTATAGATCTGAAAGGTCTCTCCATATAAATAATGGCGCCAAGTCTTCAAGGTGTGTATGATTACTGCAAGCTCTAAGTCATGTGTGGGATAGTTTTTCTCATGACTCTTCAACTGTCTGGACCCTTAGGCTTATGATCTTCCCATGCTACATTAAAACACAACCCAGATCTAGGTAGGAGGCATTACTGTAAACTGTATATCCTCCCGATCCACTCGGCAAGGCCAACACATGTGCAGTAGTCAGCCGATTCTTTAGCTCTGAGAAACTTCTTTTATAGTCCTCATTCCACTCAAACTTGACATTCTTCTTTGTGAGCCGAGTCAAGGGAGCAGCTAGACTAGAAAATCATTCCACAAACCTGCGAAAATAACCCACAATCCCCAGAAAGCTACAGATCTCCTTAACTGATGTCAATTTTTCTCAGCCGAGCACTGCTTCAACCTTTTCAGGGTTCACTGACACTCCATCTTTTGATATGATGTGTCCCAGGAAGGTGGTTTGCTCAAGCCAAAATTCACACTTACTCAAGTTTGCATACAACTTCTTTTCTCTAAGAACTTGCAAAACCTGAGCTAGATGGTGAGCATGTTCCTCTCTACTTTTTGAATAAACTAGGATGTCATCGATGAATACAATAATAAACTAATCCAAGAATTTTCTAAAGACCCTGTTCATCAAGCCCATGAAGATGGCTGGGGCGTTGGTTAGTTCAAATGGCATGACTAGGAACTTATAGTGTCCATACTTGGTTCGAAAGGCCATCTTGGGGATGTCTTCTGTCCTAATTTTCACATGATGGTAACTTGAACGCAGATCTATTTTGGAGAAGACCTGGACACCCTCCAACTGATCAAAGAGGTCATCAATCCTGGGGAGGGGATACTTGTTCTTGGTTGTGACTCTGTTCAACCATCTGTAATCAATACGTAACCTCAATGTCCCATCTCCCTTTGTGACAAAGGTGACATCGGCACCCCAAGGAGACACACTATGTCGGATAAAATCACTGTCCTGCAATTCAGTGATCTGTTTTCTCAGTTCCTCCATTTCAACACGGCTCATGCGATAAGGAG